CCCCAAAACCCCAAAACCCCAAAACCCCAAAACCCCATTGGCTAAGATTAGAATTAAATGTTAAATATTTGAGGGGTGAATTAAATATTTGAATTTAGAAGTCACATATTGACGACCAAAAGCTACTTTCTCTTAAAATCACCTGTAACTACATCTCTTGTCTAAATCGCTTCGAAAATCTAGCTTTTAAAATTATCTCTCTCTTTTGGCCTTAAGTCCTGCTTCTTAAAATCTATAGTCATTGCTCTATTAGGGTCAAGCTCTCTGATGAACTTTACAAAATTAGGCAGTATATATTCAGTGCATTTATTTGTATTAAGTCCCAATTTAGTAATATTTGGCATCTAAAGTACCCTTTAAAATAGGTCGGTTACTCCATCCTCTCTTAACACGTTTTATCCGATTTCAATCCTTTCTAACTTAAGATTATTGATTGCAGCATTCTATATATAAGCGTCTAGGAATTTCCTAAAATGAGGCCCATTGATTCGATTAACGCAGAGATTTAATACTCTAAGATTTTGAAAAGCTACTAATGAAGGAATAAGTATAGCAAAGTCTTCATTTTCCATTCCATTTTCATGGATATAAAGTTCCTGTAAATTAAATCTTAGACAAAATAGCATATCCCTAAGATTCTCTGTGTGATGATCAGGCTAGCTGAAAAGTTTATTCCCAGCAATTTACAAGACCTCTAGTTGTTTAAATAAAGTGAAATGGTCTTTTAACAATTCAAGACCATGCAATCCAATCCAGTTATGGGAAATATTCAAATGCTTGAGAGTTTCAAAATTTAAGTTCATTTGGAAATATAAGCAAAACTCAGGCTCAATACCATTTAGCTCTAGATTTAATTCCTCAATCTCAGGTCTTTTAGTAGCAGCAATGATATCTCCAAGATGCTCGCCAATACTTAAACCTTTAAGCATTAGTGACTTGATATTTGGGAATAGTAAAGTAAAATCCCTAAGCTTAATATAGGCATCATTTGCTTATTCAGGAGGTATGAAGCAGGCATTAATGTTTAATACCCTAAGACTTTAGCCAAATCCAATCGTCTTCTAGGTTGCTGTTAAAAATTTGATGACATTGTGAAAAAGACTCACATTAATTATCTCAAGCGTCTCAAGATTAGTAAATTTAATTAGCTATTAACAAAACTTTCCAATGGCGAATTCTTTCTAAATTTCACTTAGTCCATCAAACTCAATGTTACTAATTGAAAGGTATTTTACTCTATCCAAAAGTTTTTAACTTTGAGGATTCGAAAATGCTTTTTCTATTACATTACAGTAAGCAAGAGTAATTGTAGCTTCTTAGATTTCCAATTTTTCTACTTTTCTGCAATTAGTTACGCATCTGGTGAACAAATCAGACCGAGTCACACATTCATCACCAATAAACTTTAAACTCACCATGCTCTTTGGAACAACATGGTCTCTAAAGTCTTTATTCAATAGTTGCATCAGGTATTTCTACTTTCTACTCAAAAATGCTGAGATTAACATCAGGGCATCCATATTATCTATTAATTTTTGTCCTCCAAAACCTTCATGATGCTGGTTAAGGATATTTGAATATTCCATTTTAAATTTTAGACTATTAATTTTTGTCAGATTTTACTTTAGATATCGTGGGGTTTTGGGGTTTTGGGGTTTTGGGGTTTTGGGG